AAATACCTATAAATGCTTAGGATTATCACCTTTTATCATAACATAAGCCCATCTATAACCTTATACTATATAGGTGCATATACCACGCCCCTGAATACGCTTATACCTATGCTAATATTAACTTTACTAGCTATACTAGTACTAATAGTAGTATACTAAATACCTTATTTCACTCTATAAGAGGGTTTAGTATACTTCTATATTAATAATATTATAGAGGGTAACCTTTTAATAATACCTCTATTAATATAAGTAATAAAGAAATAGAAATATATTGTTAATAATATAGAAAGTAATAATATAATTATCTTCTATAGTTTATTAACACTTATATAAGATATATAGATATTATATATATAGCTAGATAGCCTTATTTAAGAGTAATATAATAATACTACTTTTATTACTATATAATATAGTTAAGGCTAAAAATCGTATTATAAAAAGTTATTAATTTAGTGGGCTAATACTGAAAAATACTACTTTTAGTGATATAGGTGGAAACCCCCTTTTTTACGTGGAAACCCTGTTTTTTCGCCCCCTACGTGAGTAGGGGGTCTAGCGTTAGCCCGCGCCGCTTGGACCCCCGGGTAGCTCGTGTGTCTCTTAAGCTGCCGACCCCTCTTGTTGCCTCACGGATATCGCAGGTCTCTCTTTTCCATGCCTCGCAGGATTCGGAAACCATGTCGACATCACGAATCCTTTACCCACCGCTCGACCGAGAGACCCGGTCAACGCGCCTCCTCAAATTCCTTCCAGCAAGGGAGGAAGAGACACTCAGCTGCACTTTGACCAACCACACGTTAAACGATCCTCCCCCTTTCATCGGATTGTCCTATGTATGGGGTGCTCCGGATCCAACATATGCCATCACTGTCAATGATAAAACATTGCATGTGCGTAAAAGCCTCTGGCACGCCCTTCAGCAACTCTATAGTATTGCTTTCAATAAGGAAAATTGCATATCCAACCAAAGAAACACCAAAAGCAGATTTCCAGAATACTTTTGGATTGACGCCATTTGCATCAACCAAGATGACGTGTTCGAACGTGGCTATCAAGTCGATCTTATGAAAGACATATTCTCTACAGCTACCTTCGTTATCTCTTGGGTTGGAGAGGCGGAAGGAAACGTCGCAGACTTACTCGAATATCTTCGAAATCTGAAGCACGCCTCTCGGCATGATAGACCTGAGTTCCTGCGCAAAGCCAAGAAGCAATTCTCTTTCAAAGATGCCAGGTGGTTGGTTTCAAGACCTTACTGGTCAAGGATTTGGATTGTGCAAGAGTTTACGCTACCTCGAGAGCTTTACATTCTTTGCGGCAATGATGCAATCTCTTGGCCAGCCCTGCAACAATTTCGGCCCTTTGGTATCTCGAACAAAACCAACCTAGGATTCAAACATTTATCGAAACAAGAAAATCATCACAGTATCGACAGACATGTGAACAGCTGTCGAGAGCTGTCAAAACTGCGGCGGTCGTGGCAAACAGAGTCAAAGCAACCATCATACACCAATCGCGATCCAGACTTCGGTGCAAGACCTACACTTACAAGACTGCTTGCTTTTTGTAAGGACTATCAATGCACTGATCCACGGGATAGGGTCTATGGATTATTGGGTCTTATCGACGTCGAAGGCGAAGACCGTCTGCTAGCTGATTATGAAATCAGCTCATTCCAGCTGTTCCATCGTGTAATGTTGCACCTGCACCAGCAAGGGAGGGTTCTTTCTCAGATCTTCCGTACGAGGCTAGCCGAAGGTCTTCAGATTCTTGACCACAAGGATCTACCGACATCTGCGTTCATCTATGAGGTTGTCGGCGGTCGCAACGTAAAACGACTGCTGGTATCTGACGCAAATATTTGTAAAGATCAATTTTTGAAAGATGTGGTGGAATATCTTGGTGAAGATCTACGGGGTGACGTTAAGTCCGAACCTTCCCAGTTTGAGAGATTTCTTTCTCATTTTCATAGTTTTCCTGTGGAAGAGGATCCGGCGACTTGGGACCTATTTGAGCGGGCGATGAGGAAAGCTTTCGAGCGTGATGAAGACGAGATAAAGATATAAATCATTGGACAAAGTTACTGACATGGTTCACACTGGCTTCAAAACTCGCAGTGGACATGCCACCTGGTGGTGGAAGATCCCTCCGAAAGCACAATACAGTTGACGCATATCTTCAAATCATTTGATAGCCAACCCATGCAAAAGTTGGAAATGGAGATCTGCGCAACTTATCCGGCAATGCGAGTGCCGTTCTTGAATTGTCTCCCAGCTACCCGGAACTTTATGCCAAGACCCGAGCACCGAGAAGCGGAGTCAAAGTCCGCCAATCATGCCGCCAGATTCGTCGATGTCAAAGCGTGAGCATCACCAAAACTAGCAGCGCGTTCGCCGAGCCCCGAATTCTCTCCGCTGAATCTCAACCACAACCCCCATGGATTTCTCTGCGCAAACTCGCCGAAGCGCAGTCCTTTCGAACTCGGCCTACAACATTGTAACCGCCCTTGTCTTACATGCATGGAGTCAACCAACGCCATGTCCGCTGAAAGCCGAGGGCAAGCAGCTGGTGCCATGTACACTAGGCTGAATAAGTCATGCGACCAGTGCCGAAGTCGAAAGGTTCGATGTATTGGTAAGCAAAACAACAACTGAACTGTGTATGCTCATGACGTATGGTCGACTCAGCTAACGATCCGCAGTACAGTCGCCTCCACCAGGAGGTTCGGTCGTGTGTAATAACTGCATAGTAAGCCAATCTACGCCACTGTGATGCATTCAAAGATCATCCCTCCTAAGACACAGCCAGAAACGAAACGAAACATGCCACTTCAGCATATTGCAGAGAAAGTTGCGTTCAAAGATAGGTCAATAATCTCTCAATAGCAGTCTTCAGTAGCACTCTGACCGACTTTGCTGTGCAGTGCCCTTGACTCCAAACACGTCGACCCCTGGATCTTCCCATCAACATGTTGAAACGCTCTCGGAATGCTTCATAGATAGGTTGTTGCAAGACCACTCAGCTGAAGCAATTCTTTACGATGAGTTTTCTGTGCTTAAGGTGGGTGACCCACCTAATAGTTGGGCGGTTTGAGCTTAACGATCATTCACAGATGCAGGACCGACGAGGTAACCACTCACTCCCGCCCGAGACCCTAGCTGCTAAAATCTGACAACCACTCAGCTCCAAGCTCGGGGCTAGCGTACTTCTCTGATCAAAAAGTGGACCAACTCGTGCAAAGAATTGGCGATTCTCGGATCCGAGATCTAGTCAATGGCATAGATGCTGCCTTACAATCCAGCATACTCACCCGCACCGACGAGGTGCTCTCGCGACTCGGCTCTGAGCGCAGGTGCCCCCCAGTCTGCATTCCGGCAGGTGAATCAAGACTTTACATTCGTCGTAAGTTACCAGACATAATAAGAGCCACCGGAAGTCTATAGATGTACGTATAATTCTAACAACGCATCCAAGAATACTTCGACACCCTGCATCCAGTCTACCCATTTCTGAATCGAGACGACTTTGAAAAAAAGGCATTCAGTCCCGATCTGGACAAAATTTTGGAGGATGACCTACAGTACTCGGCCTTGTATCATGCTGTTTTAGCTCTGGGATGCCAGCACTTTGGCCAAGGCTCGTTCGATCCGGGAGAGGGTCGAGCTTGGGAACTCTTCCGAGTATGTCTCAGTCATACGGCCGATATACTCAACTTTGGAGATTCCCTGCTTGGCCTTCAAGCACTCACTGCCATGTCGGTATTCTCTATGAATGCATGCTACCTTCAGGTTGAACACTCGATCCTCGCTGAGGCGACACGCATGGCCTTGGCCCTTCGATACCACAAATCAGCTTTAGAAGGAGGCCAGGCGGTATGTCGGAGGACCTTTTGGGTGATATATCACCTCGAAAAGCAGTACAGCTTTCAAGCCAGACGAAGCTCCGGAATTGCTGATTACGATGTTGGGTGCCCAATTCCCAACGTTCCAGAGGCGACGTTCGGGGAGTACAACTGGTTTCTGTCGTCGATACGATTTGGCAAGGTTCTCTCCGTGGCATACGAGCAAGTCTTTTCCGTCACGGCGTCGACTCGTGAGACGCCAACCCTGTTGTCCGCCATCTCTCGGGTCCGTGATATGCTCGACAGCTGGAGACGATCTATTCCAGTCGACTTTCGGCCGAAGGAGCAGCTGAACAAGCAGCGGCTCACAGATCCACGCACCAAGCAAATTGCACTTTCGACGCAACTTTATTACTTTCATGTGGTGATTGCTCTGGAACGGATGTCTCTTCAACTGGACGAGGAAGGCGGCCAGAGACAACAAGAAAGCCGAAAAGATTTATTGCAAGCCGCTAGGACTGTCATTGAACTCACTCGCTACATCGACGTCGAGCCGTATACACCAGTATTGTGAGTCGAAGCTCATCTTTCCCATGCAATCAGTCAACGACGACTAACGTTATGACACAGCACTCTGGCCATCATGCCATTGTCGGCACTGTTCATCTTGTTTGACTTTATCATATACAATCCACTATATCCCGATGTCCGCTCAAATCTCACCCTCTTGGACATTGCTGTGGGTCATTTCAGTCTTCTTGATCACGCTTCCGAAGGATCACTACCAGGAAGTCATCTGAGCGAGTTTTCGCACATTGCACGGCGATATGTGCACGAGCTTCCAGATCGTGCCGCCGATGAGACCAACGAACCCGTGCCCGCTGCTGTGGGAAGGCAAGACAGTTCGCATGAAACATCCGATACTGCCAGGCAGGTCTGTTGCATATTTGTCCTATGGAGAAAAGAGCAGGACAAAGCTAACATGAGTAGGAAACGACGCAGACAGCTGTCCAACCGGAGCCAGAAAGTTTCAACGAAGCCAATATGGACGATGATACGAATATGTATGGAAGCCCTGAGTTATTGAACTACCCAACGCCAGATGTGTGTTTTTGGACGACAAATATGCAGTCGATGAGCGAAGTGGACTTTAGGCTACTCTTTGCCACACCTCCGTTAAACCCTAGCCAGTTCCAGGAATAAGTACAACAATTTTGATTAAATGCTACCTAAGTCTGCCATCAGAGAATTGTGCCATGAATTTCCTCAAGACTAAGAGTTCTTCACTACGGGAAGTACGAGACAGGAGTCGCTGTCTCCGCCAACGTGGATAGTATGACGAGCTGGCCGGACCACATTGCCAGTTGCAAAGCCCTCGCCAGAGCCCAAATTCATGCTATACTTTGGGAAGCAGGCACCCGCTACCACAAGCCGTATTCGCGACCCGGCTGAGACCCTGTACGCGGTATCGGAGAGGTCCAAGTCGATCAACTTCCCTTCATTGCTGGCTTCGATCCGCCGATACCTTTCCGTGATGTTGTGGGACCGGCCTTGTCCATCAACAATGCTGAGTCGAACAAATAAGTCACAGAACGGATTGTCGCTCGAGTGCACGAGGTCGACGGACGGACGGCCGAAAATATCGAGGGACTCAGCCAGCGGCTCGGACGTGAATGTTACGACGTCGTCTCTGGCGCACAGTTCCGTATCGTCGACACTACCTCCCCCAAACAGGAGGGCTCCGCCAACGGTCGGTGTCGGGTTAGAGGGGTCGAAGGTGAAGCTGGATGTGTCACCATTCTCCGAGTGTAGGGTATCAAGCTTTCCCTCAGGAGCCAGGAATAGCTCCTTATGGCTCGTGGCTGGGGGCCACTTCGGAAGCTCAAGCCATTCGGGGGCCTCTCCTCCTCTGTAGATCTTCACTGCCGGGACAATTTGGGCAGTTTTCTTCCGAGCGAGATGAGCCTCCAGCCATCGATGTGTGTCTCGCGTGGTCTCTGCGCCCTGCGCTTCCATGTGACCACCAGGACCAATTCTCAGAGAGACTGGGCATCCTCGTTGACTGAGGGCTCGGTATTGCTCCATTGTCTGCTCAAAGAAGATATCGTACCACCCGGTGGCTAGATAGATGGGTATGTTGGCCTTCTCCAAACCCCTGCCATACCTCTGACCGGCCCAGACCTGGTGATCCATGTCCGACTGCTTGATCTGCTCAAAGAGCCACGGCGCCTTTTCGCCAAAGTGACGCTTCAATGCCGGCTCCAACGGAATGTTCTTCAACAGCGGGTCAAGACGGTTGGGGTTTCTGAAAGCCTGCATTGTACCACAGATCCCGCGAGTCTCCTGATTCGCAACGCTGTCGCTCCACTGCACATGCTGTTGCAGACTGAACGCGCCCGTTCCCCACATACGCTCGGCGAAGTCGTGCGGCGCGACCGTCATGATCGCGGCGACCATATCCGGCGGCGGGTCCGTTAGAAGAGCCCACTGAGTGAAGCCGAGATACGATCCGCCAAGCGTGGCGAAGGTTCCGGTGTACCACGATTGCTCCCTCATCCATGCTGCAACATCCTGGCCGTCTTGAGCTTCAGAGGATCCGCCGTCAAATGCCCCGGTGGAGCCATAGGTGCCGCGAGAGCTCACGAAAAGAACTTGATATCCGCGGGAGGCCCAGATACGGGCCATGAGCATGCCAAAGAAGATGCCGCGGCCGTAGGGACCCCTTACCAAGACGGTGCCGGCGGGGTCCTGGCCATCGGGGCGGTAAAGATCTGCAGCGAGGACTATGCCATCTGAAATGGGGATCTTGACACTTTCGAAGGTGTAGCCGCACGTTTCGGAGGGAAGGCCGAGTGACCACCCGACAGCACGGTCGAAAACAGCGGCCCACAACGGACGCGGCGACGGAGCTTGGGCGGCCATTGCTTGGTGTTTGATGGAGGAAACACTCATTAAACGGGGGAGGTATTACGTCCTCGATTGACCGGCGGATGAGAGAGGGTTGAATACGAGCAGCTCGCGGGATTTCGGAAGACGGCAAGTTCCCGCGCCCCCGCTTCCGGTCGCGTACGCCACCACCAGCTAGTCCGGAACAATCTCAGGCCGGCTCCATCTCCCTACCCAGACGCACGTCTCACTCTATCGAAGAATGCTTCTTTTTCAGCCCAGTCCATGAATTCAAACCAAGCTCCTGGTGCGTTGGGGTGAAACGGAAAGTCACTGAGCTTCGCAGGGTCCCCGGGTGAGAACTCTCTGGCCACTGTGTTTATGTAGTGCACCTCGCTTTCGGTTCTCACAAACTCTGACCCGAACTCAATTCAAAGTCGCATCAAATGTTGATGGCCTATGCGGTGCGTTCTCGCCGCTGGAAAACCGATGATCCTTCCGGAAGTTCTCACCGTCCTCCGTGACAATGTCCGGGGCTGTGGGGCCGGTGTCATCCGCCTTGCCGGCGGGCGCCCCGGGATACTCCCGCTTACGTAAAATGACAGACGTCACAGGCCGGTATTGCATGCGGGGTTGAGAGGTTCGTGTGTTGACCAGCACACTCCTTGCAGTAAGCATCCCCAGGTGCATCGATTCAGTATCTTGTACGACTTGACCAAAACGCTATGAGAATGTCTAAGCCAGGCCAATTTCGTGCAGAGTAAGCGCTGCAGCCCCAACTCACGGTGATAAACCTACGCTCATCGGTCCATTCTAACAGCATGCAGTCTTCCTGAGCTTGCGCGCCTCCTCCTCAAAGATGGACCACAAAGAACAAGACCGACCGCCCGCCGTGTTCGGGTCATACTGAACCAAACGTTCATCGTCGACACGACGAAGGCCATGCATGTCTGGGAGCACATTGCTTATCCTCAGTACTATGTGCCTACCACGGCCCTGAAGAATTGCAAAATTAAAGACAAAGAGACAATCAACGCGGCCGACGACGGTTCATCGCCTGCTGCTGCTGTGGTAGAACTCACCATTCCTGCTCACGATGGCGTTGGCGAGTTCACCACAGATCGCGCGTTGCGGTTCTCAGACGACGAGAAGTTGAGCGGGGCATTGAAGGGTATGATCCGACTTGAATTCGGAAGCATGGGTAAGAGGCCTCGCATTCCGTACATGCCTTAGTTAGTGGTTAATGGGCGTCTAGATCAATGGCTCGAGGAAGAGGTCCCCATCTACGTCCATCCCAAAGACCCCTTCAAGCGGATTGACATCCTTCCGTCTAAGAGATCAGTTGAAGTGCAAGTTGCCGGCAAGACGGTGGCCAAGTCAGATTACGCGGTTCACTTATTAGAGACGTATTTGCCGACGAGGTACTACTTGCCGCTTGCTTCAGTCGATCAGCTCGTTCTCCGGAAGAGTGATCTCATAACCAGTTGCCCTTACAAAGGGGATGCGGAGTATTACCATGTTGTGATTGATGGTGAGGAGCACAAGAACCTGGTCTGGTATTACAGGACAACCACACATGAGAGTGCAGGAATAGCCGGGCTTTTGTCCTTCTACAACGAGAAGGTAGACATCATTCTCGATGGGGAGTTGCTCGAGAGACCCAAGACGTTCTTCTCATAACCATAGGATGCTTCTTGTGTTGTTGTATTCACTAGCGGAGTATAGTCACGCGATTCCTCAAAGTACAGTCAAAAGTCAGGACGTGGACACATTTTCAATTTGCAGGTTGACGCATTCATCAGGCTTCGTTAACTTCTTCCAAACTATCTTACAGGCCTGTAGGCAAATTGCTCCTCTCATTGTCCGCAGTACTTTCCAGTTCTGCGATTCATAGCGGTCAGTTTTCTCTCATTGCCACGAGCTCGGACCCAGCCTCTTCCAGGCCGGTGCTGCTGCTCCTTGACAGCATCAATTTGTTGAGTCCAGACTGCTCCAGCGTCATCACCCGCTGTGTTGCGATTGTTGTTCGTTTAGCTATCAAACGAGCCACAGTACCACAGCCCACAAGCCGTGGTCCCCGATTTAGACTCTCTCATTTCCGGCGGAAGTCGGGACCATCGCGGCACAGAGGCGTATCGTGGGATATCCAGGTGGTTTGAAGTCGTCGCTTTAGAAACGCGTCGGCAGTCATTGCCAATAGACGCGTGGCTGTCTGTGTAGGCCGCCGCATTTTTCGCTTTGAGCCTAGCGCTGGTGGACTGATTTTGCATGCGTTTCTGAGCAAAAGTGACCGAAACCAAGAGGCAGGCAGCCTAAGGCTTCTTTCGGCATCGGCGTATACCTGAAGCCACACTTGCCGCATATCGCAGGCACTATCTAGGCAGTCACAGTCAAGCACTGTTGTGCCCTTTGCGAGACCGATTGGTCGGTTATATGCCGCATCTTGGTGGATGTTCGCCGAGATATTATTCGTGATCCCCACACAAATCGAGCGGCCTCAGAAGTATCCTTGCATGTGGCCGTACTGGGCGGCCGCCGCGTTGACATCGTAACCTGGCGGCATAAAATCCTCCATAAAAGCAGGCGCAGCCATGCTGTATATGCTGGGAGGATATACCTGCATGGTCTGGGAACAGTCGATGACTTCCTGCTGGGGGTGGTGCTCCGGGGGCGAGGCGTGGTGCTGGGCGAGGAGCATGCGTTCGTCACGCTGGTCCCGCTCTTTCAGCTGTACCAACGAAGCTTGCTGTGGCATCGAAGGCGACGTGGCTGCTTGCACCGCCGGCGTCAGGGACTGGGAGATGGAGTGGAACGCCGGTATGTCGGCAATCAGCTCGGGAAATCTAGTGAAGAAGTCCAGGCCCATCGTCCACGAGTTGATGTCGGAGATCCGCTCCTCGAACGCCGGCGATATTTGGTACTGGCCCGTGACCAAACTCTTTTTATAGGCGTCGCGGAATTCGTAGGGCCAGAGGAGGTGGAAATTGGGTCCAAACAGATCCCAGAAAGAGTTGTTACAGTAGTGGTGCTGTCCGAAGACGAAACGTTCTCGAACACCAGGCCTGAAAGCTTGTCAGCTTAATTGGTTGTAACATGCAACCCCCAGCTGCCGGCTTACCAAACAAAGAAGTCAATCGCATAGGAATGTGGCATGGTCTGTGATGGTCTGCGTCATGTTAACGCTGGCTCTCAAAACTGCCGGCTTCAGTGCCGGGCCGTTGATCCACAAACCTCTTCAGGTACCAAGTCGGCAGCTTGGCGTAACGACTCGGCGTGGGGTCAGAGTGATACTGAAGTAACAGGTGCATGGTGCGGAGGATCGCCAACCGCTCAGTCTTGGGACACGTCTGGAAACACAGCTCGTCGACCCGGCGGAGCTTCTTCCACAGCTTCGACAGCGGGCGGGACCGCGCCACGGCATCCCACCCCTCCAACAGGACCCGCACGGGAATATCCTCGTCATTCGCGTCCTCGGCGACGTGCGCCTCCTTCGATATCCTGCACCGCTTCGCCAGCACCTGGTTGACGGCTCTCCACACATTCACCTTGGGCGGAGCGGGGCCTGCGGGGGTGCGGACGGTGATGCAGTCGCAGGGCAACTCTGGCGGGGGCACGATCAGGTTGGGGTCGTCGTGGTCCTCGTGGCACTCGTCGTCGTCGTCGAGCTCCTCCCCGAGATCCTGGCTCTCCGACGTGGAGCTTGGCGCGTGAACACTGGGCGCGTGCACGCTGGGCGCCGAGATCCCATTCGGCACTGTGCCGACGGCCATGACCCCTCCGTGGTTGCTGTTGTTGCTGTGGTCGTGGTTGTGGTGTTGGTTGAACGCGTGAACATCGACGTGAGCTGCTGACGGCGTCTCCGGGATCATGCCCATTGGCGCACTATACGCGGTGGGCGCGGGCAGCCCAGGCATCATCGCCGAGGAGGAAGACGCATCCCGGGAGTCGGACAGGGATGTTGACGTCGAGAACGAGGAGTGCTGGTGCTGGTGCTGGCCGCCAGCCGCGGACGGGCGGTGCGGCGACGACGATGACGACGAAGACACATCGCGGATTGTCTCCTGGATGGCCTTGAGGGTCTCGGAGAGGCGGTCCCGTTCTGCTGTGACGCTGGCCAGCTGCTCCATGCAGGCGGAGAGCCTCGTCGAGTCGTCCTTGCGGAGCTCCTTCACCAGCGCCTCGAGCTCGGCGATGCGGTTACGGGTGCGCTCGCGGGCCTGCCTCTGGGCCCTGCGATCGAGCTCGCGTTTCCGGAGCTTGCGGGCGATCTCCTTCTCGGAGGGGACCTTGGTCGGGGCGGCAGATCCCCCTCTTGCTCCTTCTGCTCCTCCACCAGGTGTTGCTGCTGAAGTGGGGGCATCGCTTGGCCCGTTGGACGCCATGGTTGGCAGAGAAGAGCGCGCAGACGCGCGGTGCTGATAAAGAGCAAATTTGGATGTTGGTTGGTGAGTTATTCTGACAGAGAGGGGAGACGGGAAGGAGAGTCAGATTGGATGGGGACAGAGGATGTGCGGTGTGTGTGTGTTTGGCTCTGTCTGAGGCGCTTAGGGTCTGGCTTAATTCGTATGTTCGGATGCGGATGATGGAGCGATATGTCAGCTTATGACAAAAAGAGCGAGAATAGATTGTATGAAAACCGGGCACCCGATAGTGTGGAAGAGAGTTGACGGCAGATGTGCAGAAGTGGATCGAGCGGGCATCAATAACAACCAGGGGAAAAGGGGATCGGGAGTTGAAAAAGACAGACGGAGGAAGCTTCTTTCTCTTCTGACGGGCGGGCAAATTAGCATCACGGAACAGCTAAAGAGAGGGACCCCTGGCTTAGGTTGGTGTCTTGCCTGGCTTGAGCTTGACAAGGGGATGGGTGAGTGGAGGGCGGAAGAGCATTACCCAGGCGGTGGGACGGGCGGAACAGAGGTTGAAGAGAGACAGAGAGATCAAAGAATGTGGGGTAAAATGCTGGTACCCTTGCCTTGGACACTTTGACACTGCTGCTCTGTCTACTGCATAGTAGGTGTCTAGGTACTATGCAGTAGAGGACTAGCTAAAACGGGATTCCTACGTGACATTGGGCGCAATCCTTGGAGGCGGTGGCTTCTGCGTGGCTCTGATAGAGTTTCGACGCCGTCGAGCCGGCGCGGATTTGACCCCGGTGCGCTGGCGAATCAGCGCTGCAGATGGCGAGTCCGGCACGCTCTTGAGGTGCATCTGTCTTGGAAATGTCTTAGTTGCCGCACATCGTTTGTTTCCATCCCAATTTCTACGGGGGTAATTAGCCCTCCATGCATTCCGCGGAGGCCGGGTCCGGACGTTGACAATGCCTGACTGGAAGCTTACTGCCAGTACTAAAAGCCTCGTCTCCCCTGCATGTCTCTCAGCTGGCGTGGCCACACCAGCCTTAGCGATCGTTCCTGAATAGCGCTTCAGCTCTTTGAGATGCGCTCTTGTCATCACCTCACACACTCAGACATCTGCAACTCCACCGTTGGTCCCAATGCAGGGCGGGTTTGCTCTTTACTATACGCAACAAACATTTGTACCTTGCTCCGGTTCAAATTGTGACATGTCATGGACCATCTCGCCCACTTATTAAACACGGCACAGGGCCACTCATCAGAGACATTCCAGCACTAATAGCAACTTTCCCAGTCAACCCCCGTTCGTCCTCCAACAACAGCCGATCTGCACGCAGCTTATGCGGTTTTTTTACCGGCCTCCCTCCGATTGAAAATCACTTCCAACTCCGGCAGCGACAATGTGAACCCGTCCTTCTTGCCCTCAATAAAGGCCTCTGCCGTCTGGCCCGGCGCGAATGCCACGTCATACCGGTGAATGATCTGGCTCGCGCAGTATCGAACCTCCATCAGCCCGAGCTGCTTTCCGACGCACGAATATTTGCCTGGAAACCTGCATGTCAGCTCTCATGGTTTGTCATGCTTTCCGATTGCGGCAACGATAAAAGATGAAGTGAGATTAGAGTGCTTACCGGTGCCAAAGGGGACGAAGGCTGCAGGATCCTTGGCCAGTTCTGGTTGTGTAATCCATCGCTCTGGGATGAATTCGCTGGCGTGCGGAAAGATACGTTCATCTGTCACATTTAGGTTCCGTCAGCACTACGGAACTTCCGAAATACGTACCCGGACGTTACACGACCGCTCGAGGGGGAAAAAGAAAAAAAAGGTTTCACTCACCTCGAAACATTGTGTATGTCGGCACTTGAATGATGGTATTGCCCGGGATAAACGTCCCGTCAATATCGAGGCCCTCGGGTGGCGTCATCCTTTGCACGCCGGACGGCACGGGCGGGTGCAGCCTCAGCGCCTCGTCGATACATGCCTGCAGGTACGGCAACTTCGAGAGTGCGGAGTGCTCGGGTTCGGGATGCTCAGCAAAGTACTCGTCAATCTCATCCCTTAGACGTTTGTAGACGTCTGGCTTCTGGGCTAATTCGAAAAAGAGGCAAGTAAGGGATGCGGCTGTTGTATCGCTGTGACGGGGGAAAACGGAAAAGAAAATGTTAGCGGGGTCCGTTGCGGGGGCTGCTATCCCGCATTCGAAAGGGGAACTTTACCTTCCAGCAACGATGATCAGATATGCGTCTCCATATAGATTTAAAGTGTCTTGCCAAGTGGGTTTCTTAATGGCCTGGTAGTCTTCCAGGACCCACGAGAAAACGTCCGGGCGGTCGGGAGGATTCTGTGAGACATCGTTAGCTTTTGAGTTGCTGGGCCCCTGTCCAGCTGAGACGACAACTGCATTCATACCGCAATTCTCTCGTCCACCTGAGAAGTGACAAACTTCCAGAACCTCTTGTTGTTTGCGTTCAAGATTGGAGTGTTCTTGAAGATGGGGAACAACCAGAGCATATGGCTGAACGATCCGATGGCCTGCATGTCTGTATGCAGGGAAGTCATGAAGTAGTGCTTAATGCCCTCCTTCAACATGCCAAAAGTCTTGCCAAATGCCAAGTCGCCCATTACGTCGAAGCTGTAAAAGTTGAACCAGTCGGCAATGTTGAACGGCTTGCCCTTGTGGGCCTCAATCTGATCAAGAAGCTGATTGGTGTAGTTGGCAACTCGGAACTCATAGTCTCGTAGGGCTAGCTTCCATGTCAATAGACGGGACTGGATAGGATCGGCAAGGGATAGATACCTTTCGAGCTGAACCCACGATCCCAGGCCTTGCGCCGAACAGAATGCTCTTGCTTATCGCGAACAAGCTGCAGGGAGTACATGGGATGCAGAACTCCGTACCACGGACCCTTGGTGCATGGTGATCTGTTGGAATGAATTGGCATGATAGCCTTGGGGTTGTTGATAGACAACTCAGTCGGGCCTACAACCGAGTCATGTTAGTTGAGCAACTCATCGTACGATTTCAGCCCTTTCCGGCTTGTTTGCTTACCAATTCGTACGATATCACCGTACGTGTTGTGAAGATCTTGCACCTCTGAGTACAAGTGCAGCTTCTTGAGCGCGCGTCTCGTGATGTACAGGTTCGACATGCGGGCCATCCACGGCCCGTTAAAGGAATTGAGCCGGTGAAAGCCCGCGCGGTACACGAACAAACTGGAGTAAATACCTGCGATCAGGGTGGCCGTGAGGGAGCATGCTGTTCTGAATGCGGCCGCATTCGCTGGGAAAGTCTCAGTGGCCAGCTGGACAAGGGCCGCGGTGAGCAGTCCGATGCCCAGAGAGAAATTCCGGATCAGTGTCGTGGTCGAGATATCCCATTCTCCGATTCGGAAGACGAAGACATGAAGTTGAATTCCCACGACAAAGGAGAGGCAGTGGGCCTGGAAGAGTTGAAGGTCCGTCATCGCCATGGTGTCTGTGAGGCAGCGCGATTCAGGTCTGAACTTTTTTGGGTCACGAAGGAGAGCCCAGAAGAGAAGTCTGAGCCTTTTTGGACAACTTCATGTCTTCCCCGCTCCGCCGAGGCTCGTAGATATGTTGTTTGCGCATATGTTTGCTGTTGGACCTCCCCTATTAGGCGGGCCGCATAATCACAGCCTGCGTCAGAAACCGTATCGCGATCGTCCAGCAGACCAACCAACGCAGCGTCAGATAGGAACAATAGAGACGTGTCAGAACAATAGCTCCTTCAATCGAGCAGATCGCATACTGTTACTTCGAGTCAGAAAATCTGCCACTCTACTGGGACAGCCGCAGCCGCGTAGTTCAAACAAGTCGAGAAGCAGTACTCACCCATCCCCTGTAGGCGCGTTATTGCTCTCAGCCACCAACTGGGACTGTATTTGAGAACCGTTGAAACTCGTGTGATCCCATTGGATATCGAAGGAGAGACTCTCGTGGCATACGTCACGAAATTGTCGACTCAGAGGTTCCAACGGTTCTGACTCGACCACATCTGGGGTAAGTCGTGGGGTCTCCCCTCACACTCGCGGGGTGCAGAGCTCATTGCGGAGTGTGGAGAAGAAAAGAGTCAGAACGCCTCCATCGTCTGCCTCAAGGCCACACTTTTCCACAATCCCCCATGTTTTCCACCATCTAAGAATCCGGGGAAGATCTCGCACCCCGAGCAGTTTACCCCGTACTTTGCCCCGGTGTCTCTACCCCGCATGGGGCTAATCAACGGTTGTTGGAGATCCCGGGGGCGGCCGCGTGACATTCGTGTGGGATGCCGAGACCTCGAGCCGGGTGCCAACAAATACACAGCCAACGGGTGAGTCGGACTCGGAACACTAGCTTTCTCGCCGGCAGAGCCATAGTGCCATGCGAGCTCAAGACATCCTTGTGCCGAGTAGTCGGATCTTCAACAAGGGCCGATGACACCGTCGCCATTGTTAAGCATTAGCCCGTTTTCCCCATGCTTTTATCCGAAATCTTGGGATGAACAGACAAGAATAGACGGTGGCCAGGGATGCAATACAATAGATTGTCACAATCGTCGATCATTTGGTTCTCGGTCATAATATGTTCTGATTCATCAAGTAGATACCAGTTCCAAGGACAGCTATGTACATGCAGTTACTTCAGGTCTATGACTACGCGACCTTGTATTTCCCCAGACTCCATCTCAGTAAAGATCTAGACGTCGTGATTGTCAGCATATCTCCAGGCAGACGTCATAATTGGACACTCGGGGTTGCCGAGCTCGGATTCGGGTGCCGTACCTTTGTCAAGCTCCTCATGCGCCGAAGTTGAAAGTGAGTTTTGACCTTGCCCCGTGCAGCGATTTCAAGACATTCCTTGGCTTCGAGACGGTTACCCGTTTTGACGCCTGTGATAGCCGCTTGTCAGCACGTTCCCCAGCCCACAGGTGCATATGCAGGACACTTGAGCACACTTACCAAAGATGGTCAGCTCATCGCAGAGCATGGGCTCAACCTCTCCGATGGCCGGACTGCTGTGTTCGGGAA